ATCGAAATGCTAGTGTGGTCGTTATGTAATTGTTTGTCAATTTGAGGATTAAGAGTGAAGGAGTGGAGTCTAGGCCAGTGGTTCTCAACCTTCCTAATGCCACGACCCTGGAATACAGTTTCTCATGTTGGGGTGACCCCCAACCATAAAATTATTTTCGTTGCTACTTCATAACTGTAATCTTGCTACTGTTATGAATCATAATGTCAATATCTGATATGCAGGATGTTTTTCATTGTTACAGATTGAACATAATTAAAGCACAGTGATTCATTCCCAAAACAACATGTAATTATATATTGTGAAATATTTATTTCTAATGACAAATAAATGAAATTTTGTCTTGAAGCCTGGTGTAGCATGGGTAACAGTCTTCATGCCGGTTCTTGTATGTGGGCCTATCTGCATGTGGGCGGACCCACCTGGAGACAGATAGAGGAGCAGTGTCTCAGTTCCTAAGACCATTGTTGGAAAGATGGAATACCACGTTGGAAGACCATCGTGTTTTCCAATGGTCTTAAGCAACCCCTGTGAAAGGGTTGTTCAGTTCCTCCCCCCCCCACCCCCACCAAAAGAGGTCATGACCCACAGGTTGAGAACTGCTGGTCTAGTCTGTAAATCGGATCATAGCCAATGAGGCCTCTGTGTGGGCATAGCCTTCTCCTGGGAATTCTGGGAAATCCGGTATTCCTCCTTGGAGGCAGAAGACTTCTCTCTCTCTACTGACTCCCTTCAAGACATCCCTGAGGAGAAGCCACATGGACCTACCCTGATGCAACCAGACCCCTGAAAGTTGTAGAAGCCACATGGAGACCCCTGCCAGTGCTGAGATGCTTACAATGCCACTGGGTACAAAGATTTTCTACCCACTGGCCTTTAATCCTCCTGCATTCAGCATCATTGCATGTGTTTCATAAGTATAAAGAGGACTTTATAGATTGTTATAGGACATATGGGTTAATATCGGACTTATGGGCTTGGACTGGACTGGGTTGGGACACTTTCTTAATGCACAATTATCCTTTATATAAAACTCTTTCTTATACACACATATGAGTCTCTATGGATTTGTTTCTCTAGTCTACCTGGACTAACACAGCTAGAGAGCAAAATTTCTCCTGATCAAAGTACCTTAAAATCTTTCTGCTCTTATTATATCCCAGTGCTAAAAAGCAAAAGAAAATCCATTCAAAGGGCAAAAGGAAATGCAGTCAGTGATAATAGGTTTAATTGTGGGCACAGTTGCTTCAACCTGACCTTCTGCTTATTGGGCCCTCGTTAGGTACCAGACACCACGTAGTGACCTTCAACGCTCTCAGCTCTCATGTGCTGATGAGTTCCTGACCCCAACTCCATAGCTAATAAGTGAGAAAAGTAAGATTCCACCTGGGTCCATCCCATTCCCAAAGCCCGGCGCATGTTCTGTTACCGCCAACCGGAAACGTCCATGCCGAATAGAAGGCAGCCCTTCTTCATTAGGAAAGCAGTTTTATGTAACTAAATTGCAAATTAAAGGTGGTCCTTTTGGCCTCTCTTTCCCTTACTTACTTTTCTACTAATGAAACCAGGCCCCTCTCCCCTTTGACTAAGTTGTTTTGATTCTGTAACAGAAGTAGCTCCTGTGGGTCTCGCTTGCTCATCTGATCACCTAAAAAAGGCTCTTTCCTTCCCCACGGTCAAGTGTGCCTCTGTGGAAAGACATTTTTGTTGTGGCAGAGTGAGGTACACATTGGATTGCTAACGGAAAGGTCAGCCGTTTGACCCCACCAGCCACTCCATGGGAGAGGGTGGAGGCTTTCTACTCCCATAAAGATTTATGGTTCCAGAAATGCAAAGGCACAAATTGGGGCAATTCTACCCTGTCCTATCACATTGTTATGAGTCAGAATCAACTCGATGGTGATATGTTTAACTCGATGGTGATACTCGGTGGTGATGGGTTTATGGTGGCATCCAGTTAGAGATGGCCATTTTTTCAGACTGACACCCTGTTGGACGTTGGACTCTAGCCTTACGCCATGTGAATGGAATAGAGACAGTTTGGTTTTCATGACCAAGCCCAGTGAAGGACCTTAGACTCTGACTGGCCTCTCAATGTCTCAGTTTCCTTATCCGGGCACAAATAATGGACTCTCCCTGATGGGCTGTTAGGAGGAGTAGATGAGCTGATGATTATAGAGAGCTGCCCTGGACTCGGAGTCCGCCTCTTAGCTCCTCCACGCAGAAGCAAGCAGCACAGTCTCTTTGTATTTTGGTCTTGCCCATATGCTTTCCACATCAGAGGCTGTTATGAGTTAAGCATGGAAAGTGTCCACAGGAGGTGTCTGGCACACATTACACCTCTGAGCACTTGTCACTCCAGAACTCTGGGCAGGTAATAAGTGTGACATAGGGACAAAACCCACTAGCATCCCCACTTTGACCTGCACAGTGTCAGCACAGTGGGGTAACGGAGGAGGTTTGAGTCCCATTACCTGAAACACACATGAGATCGGTAGAGAAAAAGATCACACGAGTATTTTATACACTAAACTAATTCCCAGTGGGAAATGGAGCCTTTCATTGGTAGAACAGAGTTTCTTTAACTCCTGTGGTGGGCTGCAAGATGGTGCTCAATGATATCCAGCTCCTGGTCTCTGGAACCTGGGAGAGAGTTACCTTATATGGAAAAGGGGACTTTGCAGATGTGACTAAGGACATGAGGAAAAGGGAATGTGGGTTATACAGGTGGGTCCTAAGCATGATCAGACACGTTGTCAAAAGAGGGAAGTAGAGGGAGCCTGGACACATAAGAGGAGAAAGTCATGCAACCACAAAGGAGACAGAAGTGATGTGGACACAAGCCAAGGAGTGCTGGTGGCCGCCAGAAGGTAGAAGACAAGGAACGGGTTCTTCCCTAGAGCCTGCAGAGGAAACCTGGCTCTGATCACATCTTGGTCTTAGCCCAGTGCTACTGATTTCAGACTTCCGGTCTCCAGAACTGCAGGCTAATAAATGCCTGCTGTTTTAAGCCACCTTGTTTGTGGTAATTTGTTACAGCAGCCACAAGAAACTAATACAGCCGGGGTGGCTGGAAAGTGGAATCTCCAAGGACTTACACCCCATGGTTTCGGTGCGTGTTTCAGATACATCTCATCACCAGATAAAATGCACAGTTGATTGTTTTGTGCTTTTTTAAACAATAGTAAAATGCTACAAAAATCCACTGCTAAATTCCTACAAAGCATTCAGTATTTCATCAGACTAACTCTTGTGAAAAATACCGTGACCTATCAGGAAAGCAAGTGAAGATCACTCATGAGCAAGGTGCTTTCTGCACAGGCCTATCAAGAGCCTGACCTCACACCACTTAAATACTCAAGTCCGCTGGGAATTGAATAGACATTTTTGAACAGACATTTTACTCACCTCAGAATGATGACTTCTATTGTGAAGTGACTTCCAGAACAGATAGAAATGAGAATGGATTCGATGATGTGTTTAATGGGAGCCAGGTCTATTTCTAGAGAATCCTCACAGCCTACATTAACCACAGCCCCAACTTTGAAGATGGTGCTGTTTGAGCGGCTTGGCTACCTCACAGCTCTGCGAGTCCACTCTATGGCAAAGCCCAGTGCCCCGCGGTTGGGATTCTTGGAGTTGGGTGGTGAGATGGGTTGGATGAGCGGGTTCTACAGACTCCCTTGTTCCACCTGTTCACCTCCCAAGGCCCCTCTCGAGCCAAGAATGCCTTTATTTCAGGGCCCTCTTTGGAACAGCCAGCTAGCCTTGCAGGGTCTGGATGGGACAGTGCCTTCTCAAATGCCTCTCCCTCCTCCTCTCCACCACCTTGCTCACAAGCCATGAGAAGGAGCGTGCCGTGTTCTGCCACAGCCTGGACACTGTCCCTCCCCCATGGCAAGCTGGCTGCTCTGGCTGACTTTTGTGGGCCCACAATGGTTACTTAATTTTTTTTTAATAGTAAGTTTGGTTTGTTTTCGGACCTAAATTTTAACCACATGCTCTGTGTTACCTAGTTAGTTACCTAGTGCTGCTGTCACCGCAATACCTTCTGTGGGTAGCTTTCAAGAACCACACTTTTTTCTCAGCGGCATGCATCCTCACAGCCATGGGTGGATTCTGACTCACAGTGGCCCAATAGCATAGTGCAGAACTGCCCCTGTAGGTTACAAGACGGAAACGCTTCATGGGAGTAGACAGCCTCACCTTTCTTCTAAAACAGTGGTTCTCAGCCTTCCTAATGCCGTGACCCTTTCATACAGTTCCTCATGTTGTGGTGACACCCAACCATAACATTATTTTCGTTGCTACTTCATCACTGTCATTTTGCTACTGTTATGGATCAGCCGACCCCTGTGAAAGGATCCTTCGACTCCCAAAGGGGATGAGAGCCACAGGTTGAGAGCCACTGCCCAAGGGGAAGGCCCTTCCTTGTCAGTAGCCCTGGAGGTTCCTTGGCATTCCTTGTTTACTTTCCCCCTGGGTGTGGCTCTATGTCTACTCTGCTTTTTTTTAATAACTCAGAAGTGATTAGGATTAGAACCCACCCTACTCTGGCACAATCTCATTAATATAAAAGAAAACCCTGTTTTCAAGTAAGGTTATATTGATAGATATATCTTAGGAATTCAATACATAATTGAAAGGGATATAATTTAATCCATAATAGTTTTTAACTAATTCTCCCCATCATCATCAGTTAAGCTAGATTAGCCCTAATTTCCTATTGACATAACCTTCCAAGTAGGCTTAACAAAATGAGAGTCCAGACTCCTAATTTACTGACAAACTTTAATGATTCCTCCTGTCAACGCAAAACACTTTGTCTACATCTTTTGAAAACTCTTAATGTTTACAACATCCCTGTGAGATCACTATTGAGGTTGATTGTTTTGGGTATTTTTGCTAGACTAGTATTTTAGTGGTCTAGACTCGAGCTCAGCGGAGTTGGCAAAGATCAGACACATAGCAGAGTCTCGTATTGGCTGCAGGAACCTCCCTTATGAAAATTTACCGAGATAGTAGTTTTCCCATCTTCTCACTTTGTTAATTATTGTCTTCCACTTGCCCGGACTTATCCTTTCTATCCCTTTGCTAATCAGGTCACTGAACAGTACATACTGGTAAGAATAGATACTGTCAATGGACTGCAAACGAAACTCTTTTCTGTTATTGATGATAAACCATTTCAGAGAAGACCAGGCTGAGTCTAGAGGGTTCAGGTAATTGTAAGGGAAAGGCAGAAAGAGCAGCTCATGGCCACAGGACTTGGCCACCTCAGGGCAGCACCAGCTGCTTGTTAGGTTAACGATCGGTGGGGCACGGGGCTGGGCTTTATACTCTTGGTGGTCTTCGGGGCTCCTCTCATCTTGCTGCCTTTTCTCTTTGACCACAATGACACACTTCCCGTAACACTTCTTCACCACGTCACAGAACTCGAAGAAGAGGCCATCTTCTTGCTTGACCCATAACTCATCTCGCAGGAAGAGCCGGTATTTCCAAGGCACCCATCCTTGACTACCGCCAGCATGCACAATACACCAAGTTGGACTTCGCATGGCATAGCCATCACCAACATCTTCCCCAGTTACGAGACTTTCTGGGATGTAAGTTTCTCCAAAATAGACCGTCTTGAACCCGTCGTATTGAAGAGTCCGCAGTGTTTTCAAGTACTGGAGGCATTGCTTCCTCTTGATGCTCTCAAACTGACTTCTGATGATGAGGTTTCTTAAGAGAGGGTTTGCAAAGTAAAGCATGGCAGCTCCTCAAGTGCTGTTGTCCAGCGTGCCTGTCTACATCGGAGGAGGTCTGGTAAGCGTGGGACCATGACCTCATAAAGGCCTTTCTTACAGCTCTGCCAGCCCCCTGGTTACCAGATTTCATAGAACACATACTTGGAACAATTCCATTCTGGCTCTTCTGATACTAGGATGGGCAATGCTACCCATGGACCATTACTTGAACATCACTTCTGTAATAGGACAGAGGTGGGTAATCTTTGAAAAGCAATGGATCCTCTTTCTGATCCCTTTCCATTGAGTTCATCGAGATGGGAGGGATAGTTTATTTCCCCATTTACAAATAATTTACAAATATTTATTGAGCACCAAGTACTCCCCAAGCACTGTGCCAGGCACCAAGGGCACACTTGTGGCAGGCCCATTGTAAGTCAGGACATGCGTGGTGTCTGTCTGAGTATGATAACGTTTGTGCCTGCCCACTTTTGCCATTGAGAGGAGTTTTCTCAAGCATGAGGCGGAAGGTCAGATCTCAGCTCCACCCCTCACCAGCCTTAGGTGTCCGTACAATGGCAGAGAGAACCCTCCTGTGTCACCCTGTGATGGTGAATGAAATCATGCACATCCTTGGTGGGTCCAGAGCTTCAGAAAAGGCTGCTGTTATTTGGAAAGAGGCTGGTTTGCGGGGGAAGCGCCCATGAGGGTTTGGCAGGGACTCTGAGGAGAAAAGGACAGGTGATGGGAAGGGAGAACCAGAAGTCACGATGGGCCTAATGTGGAAACACAATAAATCATCCGCACGGTGGCAACAGGGGAAATGTCTCTCCCCTCCCTCCTCTTTGCTCTCTCTGTATTCCCTCAGTACATTTTTAGTGTCTCCCAAGTCCCAGGGTCTGTGTGAATCTCGAGTCTATACCCTCAAGGAAGCCGCCGTCTTGTGGGGGAGAGAGGAGTCAGCGAATGGTCTCAAGACAAAGGAGGGGTGCTCGGGTGTGGGGAACGGGCCTTGGAGTCGATGCTGTTCCCCTCTGAGCATTCGCCTTTCCAGCCCAGACACACTGAATCAGGATCTACTTTCTGGCAAGATCTGTCCTGTCTTTGTAAGAATCCCTTGGGGCTCTCTAAGAATCACCTGGAAATCTTGTTCTAAAAGATTCTGCTTTAGTCTATCTAAGGTGGAAATGCACATCTTCAGCTGGGGTTGAACTGAAATAGACCAGTCGGACGTGCCCCCGTCTCCCCCACAGTCCGGGTGATGCAGCTTCCTTGAGGAGGAAATGGAGTGGATCCCTGAGAGAAAGGAGATGGGGTGACAGCGGGGTGGGGAGGGGGGCTTGCAAATCAGCTGAGAGAAATCTTCTAGGGATCGCTGACCTCCCTCCAGACTGGGCGGAGGGATCGTGACATGGAAGCCGAGGAAACACTCAGCTTCACAGACCGCCACCAACAGGTAGCTCCTGTCAGTCCCAGAGGGATGAGCCAAACCAGCTATCCAGTGGTCAACCCCGTTCACACCAGCCCCATGCGTGTCAGGATAGAAGTCTGCTCCATTAGGCTTTGTCCTTGGGATTCTCTTTTCTGTTACTTATCAACAGCATATACATATAGAATATAGACAACCTGTAGGGTCCTCAGGGGCAGACTTTCTGGAAGTACAAGACGGTCCTTTTTTTGTGAAAGACCTCTGGGTGGACCGCCGAACATGTTTGTGTCATCCGGTGTGGTGATTAGGGATGATGCCAACTAGACACTTCTGGCTAGGAGTCGAATCAAAACCTGTCAATCGAGTCAGCCTGATGACACTGCCTTGATGTCATAAGCCTTTTGTATCAGAGCAAGGGACTCTGGGAACTGTTCTCTTTCTCTGCCCCTCCACTTTCCTGCCCGCTGGGGCTCTGCCTACCTCGAGGGGTGGCCCCATGCAGGCCGCCGGGCCCGAGAGCCTGCCATGTTTCCACCGACGGTGGAGTCACATGATCGCATCCGCTAGTCTGGGAAATTCTGCTTCCTCACCGTTCTGCGACACGCGCTTGTGCCTCGGGGAGTCTGAAGAGGGACTTAGGGCCTAGCATTGGACTTGTGGACTTGGGGCCACGCTGGGATACCCTCTTACAAAAAAAAAAAGAATAGAATTACTTTATTAATCTTAGAAATTAGTAATTCCAAAGGATGTCTTTACCCTGGCTCCCTTGGTCAGCAGTGCCTCTCCTCGACCCTGAGACCGAGTCCCTGGAGATACAGGGGGTGTGTGAGGGGGGGTCCCCTCTCCCTGCACTCCTCTGGAAAAGGATAAAGGTCTTTGTGGGCTACCTTCTTGAGATAGGATTACTTCTTGATGTAAAGTTCTTTCTTGAGGTCTAAGAGAGAGCTGGGTTTGTTTCTCTAGACAACCCAGCCTAACACACGCAGGAGTCTGTGGCTGGCAAATTCAGGGGACCCTTAATTGTGGTAAGTGAATGAACTAAGCAGATACAAAAAGGCCTGGATGCTTATCAAGAGAAGCGAGAAGGGGAAATGACCATGCATGTTGAAGGGCATTTTAGAGAAAGGCCACCCTGCACACACTCCATTTATCTGTTGTCTGTACACTTGGTGTGTGTTCAGTGGCCTGTTAACTAAACATTGACACATACCTGGGTGGTGAGAGCTCTTTCTGGTATTTCAGGTTATCCCCTGAGGGGCTGGGAAGAGGTGTTTTGGATTAATTTGGGTCTTCTAAAATGTTGTTAAAATTCTAGCTGCTTTCCTTCCCCCTGAACTTGACTGTTGCTGTCATCCATTTCAGCTTACGACGGCCCTGTGTGTGTCAGAGTAGAACTGAGACGCAGTCTGAGTGTGGTCCTTCTGGCCACCATTTCTTATGGGATATGGTATACAGTGAACCCTCGTTTATCGCGGTTAATCGGTTCTAGACCCTACCGTGATAAATGAAATTCCGCGAAGTAGGATTCCTTATTTGTAAATCAAATATTTTCGTAGTTAGAGCATAGAGGACATGAAAAAACACCCTTTAGTCACCATAACACTCGTATTACCCAATTTATTAAATGAAAAAGGGAAAATACAGTAAAACATTTTGGACATTACAATGATCATTTATTATTTATTATATTATTTATGGCATCTAGTTTACAGTATTACATATTTCACATACAGTATTATTATACATAGTTCTTACAAATACTGTAATCAATAGCCTATGAAATGACTTAAGGGATGTACTCTACAGGTGGGTCGCCGTCTTTTTCCTCTGAAGGAGCGGGTGTAGGCAGTGGGTGCTGTTACGCAAAAACTGCGATAGAGTGAAGCCGCAGAAGTCGAAGCGCGAAGTGGCGAGGGTTCACTGTAATTTTCGGCCCTGTGCCTGTGGTTATCATCCCATTTTGGAGAGACTCTATTTCTGCTATGCTAATGACTAAGACGAAAGTGGAATTAAGCCTTGACCTTAATTGAGGCTGGGAACCTTGTTTCCCTGTGGGTATGGACTTCTGAAAGTCAAAGGCCCCACCTGCGTTTAAGAAGTGCCTTTGTGTCTAAGGGCATCTTGGACACAGAGAAATCCCAAAATAATCAGAAGAAGAACACGATTGTGATCTCCATCTGAAGGCTGAGACCAGATGCGCCAGAGAGTGTGGCCTGGAGACCATGGGACAGAGCGAAGGAGCCAGACTGAAACCCGAGGTGGAAGCCAGGAGACCCTGCAACGGAGCCGAGGACCGGTGCTGAGTCTCTGAGCCAGACTGGGAGGCAGAGCACCGAGAGGCCCTCCCGGCTCATGGAAGCAGGGGCCAAGGGATCGGAATGCTGAGAGGCTGAGGCCCAGAGAGAAATGACTTGGCTGCTGGCTGAAAAGAGGTATTGCTGTGGACCCATGACTGTATCCTTACTGTTCACTGATCTTAATTTGTGGTAACCGGTTTATTCCCCTATTAAGCCCCCTTAATCATGAGTACTGTCTGCGAGTTCTTTGTGATCAGTGCTACAAATTATCGAACCCAGCCTAGAAGTCATGTGGTAGGAGGAACACGGGCTGATGTCAAAATAAGATGGATGGATGGTGGAGGCATGGCTGACCTCTGCCTCATGGCAATAGGGAAGCTAGAAGAGGTGAGATAAAATTTTGTTGGAGGTAGATTACCAGGCCTTTCATCCAAGGTGTCTCTGGGTGGACTTGAACCTCCAACCTTTCAGCTCACCGCTATTCATCATTTATACCACCGAGGGGTTCTCTGTGTTTGTAAGGAGTAGGCAAGTGTGTGTGTGTGTGTGTACCTGTGTGTCTACAAGTGAGTGTATGGTATGGTGGCCTGTGTCATGTGTGTGTGTACACACGTGTGTATTTTTAAATACCTGGATCGGCTCCTGCTCAGGAAGGGCTTCCTGTTTTCTCACACTGAGCAGCAACACTTATGGAGCACACTTCCTGCTGAGACACCCTGTTATTCCCAGCTCCCACTGCTGGGAAGGAACTGGAGTCATTAGGGTAATTGCCCTGTTAACACCAACCTCTTTGGGTGGAGGCAAGACTCTCTCACCTCTGGCTTCCGTAGCCTTCACTCCGAAGAAAAGAAAGCCAGCCCACCAATTTGAAAGCTTGCTCAGGGAACTGCGATCCTCAACAGCCATCTCAGGGCCTCCGAGAAGTCACCGGGAACTTTACAGCATCGCTGTATCTGAGTCCCTGGCTCAGAGCTTCTGATTGAATTGGTCTGGGGTAATGGTCATCAGGGTTTTCATAAGCTTCCAAGGTGAAGTCAAGATTAGAACCACCGCCCTAGAGTGAGGTTTCACCGGTGACCGAGGGAGAGTGGTAGGTACAGATGTTTGAGCCAGTAGGGACTTCAGAGAAAACATGTCCCTATCTGGAAATATCTATTTAGACGGGTAAATAAAAACATATACAACGCAGGAAATGGGATTGACATTCCTTTGCTGCTCTTGGTGGCCCTGAAGAACCTCCAGGGGCCAGGTTAGAAAATCCTGCCAACCAGGTTCAGCGCTGTGGCAGCCAGTGCTTC